GCACTCAATACATTAACGTAACTTCACTTCATCACTTCGACCTTTATGCCATGGCTTTTTAATTCTAAGGCAAACAATTCTGTAAGGTGAGATTAAATGAATGAACAACGAACTTTAACAGCATATATTGATGCCATGAAGCTTTCATAAATCAATGTTTTTTTTTAACTTGAAAAAATTGCTGAGGAATTTTATTTTAATAAAATTTTCAACTCGTTAGTTATTTACATCCATTCATGAAATTTCCAATCATTCTCTCACATTCCTAACTTACCTCTCAAACTTATCTATCTTCAATTATATCCCGCACCAAAGCATATTCAAAACTTCTCGGTACAGTAACGAAACAGCCTACTTCGCCCAATCTTGCAGCACAAAAGCAAGAATGAGTTGTTGCTCTTGAAGTGTGATAAAGGATAAGGAAGGATTGTTATTCCCGAGAAGTTAGCAGTGATTAGAGAGTGTTTAACAGGCTGTGAACTTAATTCATTTGTATTTCAGCTTATTGTGATATCCATTTTACCAGTGATAGTTTGGAAAAAGAATGGGTCGTGATTCGCACCATCGTAGGAAACGTAAAACTGCGAAAGATGACGATTCATCGGATGAAAGCAGGCAACGTTCGTTATCCCGAACTCCAGAAAGAAAGTAAGTCTAAGAACTACTTTAATCTTTAAATAAGTTCAATTAAACTAAATAAGTGTAATTTTCAATTTAATTTTTTAAAATGAGATTTCAACAAATAGAGTGTGAATTTTTTATAGTCGTCTTTTCATACAGTCAGTTAGAGTAAGCAAGTCATTTTTCTTTTTTTTTTCAGATCAAGACGTGTTGATAAAGGAAAACATAAGGATAAATCACCGAGCACTCCTTCATCTAATAAGAAGTGACGTTTTGATTATATTTCATATCATACTTTCATGTATTCTATTTTCCCTAATTGTATTGATGGTTCAAGGTAAATTATATGAAAATTTTTAGTGAGGAAAGTATGTCAGTTGAAGAAACCAACAGATTACGTGCATCGCTCGGTTTAGCTCCACTTGAAATGGATGATGGACCGAAAGAACGGGAAGTGGAAGGAAGCGAGGGTATAGAGAAAATTTATAAAGAAGATGGAATGGAATTCGTGCATAAAAAAGCCGAACATCTAGGAGAAAAAAAGAGGGCTGAAGAAATGCGGGAGAAATTACTGGTATAGTTCTTGATGTATTTAATTTATTTTTAGTAAGTCTTTATTCAAATATCATCACAAATTTTTTGTTCTTCATAATATAAGATAATTCATGAAACTGTGCTGATTCAATAAATTAAGGTAGCTCGTGATAAACGGAAGCTGTATGAAAAAGTATTGAAAGCGAAGCCTCTGGCAGATTCTGATTCCGAGGATGATGCGGCCTCTTGGGTTGCAAAGAATCGTGAACTGGAAGAAGAGCGAAAGAGAGCAGAAGAAAGGGTATATATGCGTACTTGATTGTTCTCTATCTCTTTCACTTTTTAAATTTCTATATAAATAATAGTAAATGTTGTGAGGTTAAGAAATCTAAACGAATTAAAAAATGTTCTGCAGAATCATATCATTGTGAAATAAATGCAAGAATAATGATTGCTTTCTTAGGCTAAAATTCTGGATGATATGGACGCGGATTTTGGTGTTAACGCATTGATAAACGAGGAAAATAAAGTGAGACAAATCAGGAAAACCAAAAAACGAGGAGTAAGATATAATTCTAAAAATATTTTCAAATCATTATAACGGCTTTTATAATTTTTAATCATTAAAAAAATTTTAACGTAAATTTATTTTTTAATGATTTGAATTTTTGAAGCAGAAATCAGATCTCGCAGGCTTAATGGTGGGCCATGCTAAGAAGGACTTTCTGGAGAACAGCGAAACTGTTTTAGTCCTTGAAGACAAAGGTATTGCTAGACTTTCTGAATTTTTTAATTATTTTTACTTCCTGAGTTTTTTAACTTTTTCTGGAGATATTTTTTAATCCATTCTGCTCTCCAAATTATATTGGAATATTTGAGGTGTTCTGGATGAAGGTGAAGAAGTGCTTGTAAATCCGAATCTGGCTGAAAATCGCAGGTATCAGAAGAATGCTGAATTCAAGAGAAAGAAGAATCGTTATGAGCCTTACGAAGAGGAATTTGATGAATACGGAATGGTTTGTTTCGATGTTTTGATAGTTCTCAGTAATTATCGTCTTGTAGCTTATGTTGCTCTTATAGTTTATATTGCCAGTATTCATAATTTTCAGCCCAAAGAAAAACGACTTCTATCAAAATATGATGAATTGGAAGACGAAGCAGAAAAGACTTTCCGTCTGGGTGTGTTTTTAAATGAATTCAAAAACTTATCGTTTACTACCACTATTCATTGTACTTTGCATCTGTTGTAGCTGTTAAGGTATTATACAATCACGATATGCCCAGTCATTTGTAAGCTTGTTCTGCCTTTTCGATCATATGACCGAGTTTCATATGCTGTGGCGTATGAAATTCGGTCATATGATCGAATTTCATGCGCTACAGTCATAGACAAGGATTCCAAATGTTTAGCACCAGTATATAACATTATTTTACCTAATGATTTGGCTAGCTATAACGTAATTAAGCGTAAATTATGTTTAAGATGAGAGTGGCGAAGTTGATATCGACAAGGAACAAGAGGAAATGAAAATGCGTCGGAAGCTTTTAATGGCAAACAAAAAACTAGAATCGTTGGAAACGTCAAAGTACACAGTGGCCAGCGAATTTTATACAGAGGTTTGAATTAGTAAACGTTTTAGTCTCATAGTTGGTGCAGTAGAATTGCATTACTGTTCGTAAGAAAGTACTCTTCAAGATAATGCAATAAAAAGAAATTGGCCTAGTTTTTTAGGAAGAAATGCTTTCATTTCGTCGACCAAAGTCAAAAAAGGACAAAAAGTTGCGTAAAAGAAAGGGAAAGATATTGAAAGCTGATGATCTCATTCCGGATGAGTCTGCATTAGCTGATGATACTGAAAGGTCTGTTTAAAAAGAAATTTAGCATTGTAATTTCCTTATATGCGATCGGTGGTCCGTGTTGAGTGAAGTTTTTTTAGCACTATCATCGGTGACTTTGAAAGTATTAGAGTCCAACTGGCTTGATAAATGTGTTTTGATGGGAATTTTGCCATGTTTTACTGATCTTTTTTTGTTAATATTTGAATTATTCATTGTTAGAGCGGCTAAGATAATAAATCGACAGCGCACCGCAGAAGCATTTGGAATTAAAGAGGAGGAAGAAATCGTAAAGGACAAATCGAATCTGGAAGATGGAGAACTTGCAGATGATGACGAGAAAAAGGTTATATGTCGTTTGCATATTTCTTTATTCCTTGTTTTACCACCTTTCGTTCTCGTACTAGTTTTTTTATTGGTTTTTATGTTTCAATTTAGAGCAACTGGAAAACTGCAGAAACGAGTGCTTTTGTAGACGTACAGAACTTGAATAAATTGGCCAGGCAAGTGGAGGAAGACGAAGAAGATGATGATGATGGTGTGATATTTTTTTCTTTTTTTTGGTTGGGAATTTGTAGCTGATTCAAAGTAATTATTCTTCCCTTACTTTTTTTTATGATTTACATTATTTTAGATCTGGTTGGTGGTGTAGATTTATCCAATGTTGTTATTGAGGATGATGCTGAGGAAGAGCTATCAATGATATTGGATCGTGCTCGTAAGCTTAAGCAGCACGAAATTAAAAAGGAAAATCCGGAAAGTGATGCTGCATTGAAGGTCATATACTAGTTATGAATTTCAGGCTCTAAATGCTGACAAATAGAACAAACAGGTTTTGATGTTCAGCATTGTTCTAAAATTCTTTTATGTACCATTATTTTTTAGGTGCATGAATTGATCAAAATACATTCGGTGAAGGAAGAACCCATGGATTTAGAAGAAGGAATTGATAAAGGCGGTGTTGTTATTGATTCTACAATGGAATATTGCCGTAATTTAGGTGAATACCGACGACATTGTAACTCTGATTTAGTATGAAGTTTGTTAGAAAAATATCATATTTATGCTGAGTTAAATTTTGATATGTCTTTCCAGGGGAGATTCCTACATACGGCCTGGCCGGTAACCGGCAGGATGCTGTGGATGTTAGAGAACTGAACGAACCGGAGACTGTAAAAACAGAAGTAGATGAAGAACCAAAAGCTGACCGGTCACCAGCTGAGTATGTATTTCCATCTTTAAATTCATTTCTTGGATAGTTTCAGGATTACAAAAAAATTATTAGTGGAAATATCTTTGTTTATTTGTTTTGTTTTGGTTAATGTATTATATTGCAGGCAATACCATAATCATAGAAGATCGGAGCAGGAAATAAAAGGTAAATGGACAGAGGCAACTGCATCAACATCTGCTTACGATGACAGAATAATGAAGAAAGTTAATAGAGAAAGCGATGTAAGCTTTTTATGAAAGAAAAAAATGAGGCTTAGGTTCTATTATCGTATTTTCCTTGATATCCATAAGTACGATACACAGTGAAGTCATTTTTAGTTTAATGTTTTTCAAATTTTAGGATAGTGATGAAGAAGTGTACAATGTACTGGGTGAAGAACGTGATGTAACAAAGGGTGTTGCTGCGATGTTGAAGTCTGCTGCCGAAAAGGGTTATCTTGATGCTGGTAAAGAACGTAAGGTGAAAGGTCCTTCGTTGAAACATTTGGAAAGCAAACGTTTCTCACAAATTGAAACTAGTCGATAGTATGTTTTTTTTTTTTGTTGTTTGAATGCTTATCATATTTTCTGTTCATGATTTATTACATGTTTGCACAACTGACAAAAGAAGTTAATTTTTTCTAATTATATATATAATATCTATGTAATTTTCTGATATTATGTATATTATGTTTTAACATATAGCCCAAAGTATGCGTCGCGTTATGTCATATCCTCTTGTTATAAAAGGATATTGATAAGATACTACAAATTTATTTCTAAATACTAGAAATCTGATAAACACTGAAATTTATATTTTTTAGGCATAAAAATTTACTTTGCAGTGATATTGAAGAGAAATATACGAAGAAACTAGAGCGGATGGGAACAACTGGCACGGGTCCTGTGCGACCATTCCCAGAAAAAGTGGATTACAAACCGGATATACGGATAACATATGTTGATGAACGTGGAAAGGAAATGGAATCAAAAGATGCATTTCGTGTTCTTAGTTGGAAGTTAGTCTGATTCGTTTGGAGTAATAAAATTTCAAGCACTGATAATGCTATATGTTTTTTTTTTTCAGGTTCCATGGAAAAGGTCCAGGAAAGAAGCAAATTGAGAAAAGACAAGCAAAACAGGAGAAGAAGGAGCTCATGAAGAAAATGAATTCTATGGATACACCATTGGGAACACTTAATAAACAATTAAAGAAACAAGAAGCGATGCAAACTCCATATATTATTCTGAGTGGTTCTGGAAGAGATACAGGGTTTGTTTGTTTTTTTTTTTTTAAAGAAAGAAGAGACATAGGAAAAAATCAATGCTGAATTCAAGATTTTGTTCCTGTGATATTTCATATTTACTTTAAATTTTTGATTTATCAAAGGCATACTGCTGAAGTGATATAGTGAGGAATTGAACAGTAAATCTTTATCATTTTTAAATAGAAAATACTCATCAGTAACAAGCAGTATTTTGCAGGGCACCTTTGAAGAAGGAATAATGCATTTTTTCGGAATTAACCCAGAATTATGGCAAGAAGATTTATAATTTTATTTTGAGGAATTCTTACATATTTAATTAACTTTTGTTTCAAATAATTTTTGATTAATTTTTTTATAAACAAACCTTTAATTTTTGGGGGCAAATTTGCTTTCTTAATCAGAAAATTTTTGGCTTTTTTGCGTTTAGGAAAAAGTAGTTTTGTATGTTTAAAATATTTTCATATTTGAGAGCACCAACCCATTCTTTTGTCTCACTTTTATGGCTTGTGATTTGTAAATTATTGCAACAAATTACAACTTCTTACTACTTATAAACGAAGAAGCAATATCGTGAAATGCATGTTCTATAGCTTGTTATGACGATCAAATATACGATAGTTATTCCAGAAAGGTAATGAAGATAGGAAATCATAATCGGAAAATATTGGCAAAATCAATGAAAGGTCTTAATAATGGTTTCAGATAAAGCGATAAGTTGTTGATTTTTTGTTTCTCTTTCAAAGCAAGAGTTTCTTGACTGTTTCAAACAATGTGAGAAGTGGACTTTAAGGCCGATGTTTATTTTGAATTTTATTTATGCGGAAATAGGACTGTCAGTGCACTCCGTATCCATAACGCAAGAGTTCTGAAAACATCTACTAAATAGGTCATGTTGTTAGATTTATTTAATGGATCCAGAAGGATTTCAGTTTATCATGAAACTTTAGTGTATTTCGCGGAATACCACCCTTATTTCCTTACTTCTCGAGGTAACATTTCCTGCCATTTCACATCGTCGATCAATAGCGCATTATTTTTATAAAACGTTAGAACGTTAAATTGCAACCCGTTTGAGCGAAAATCGCTGTTTTTTCTAAAATCACTGTCACTTAGTGACCCAAAAATCATTATCACTTAATGTTGTCCAAAAATTTGCACTCAGTAAGAGACCTTCTACTTCCTTAGAATATCCTGAATTGGTGTTACTGTTGCAGTTGAAAATGATTGGCATGAAACGCTTCGGTTACATATACATTGCGCCTAAAAATTCCAATCTGTCTTATCAGAAGTTTCAAATTGAAATAAAAGATTTGAGATGTTTATCTCGAAAACGTTATCTAAGCGAGAACGTTATCTAAATTAGAATCCTGAAATACATACTCATATCTCCCATTTAAAATTACAAAAATGGTTTTTTTATTAACATCACTCTTTTTTGATTTGCTAATTATTGCTGATATAACATTTTAATTGGTATGGTGGTATTCCAGAGAGTTAGTGTACTATTTAGAAATTTCACTTTTTTCTGCTTCTTCCGTTGTATTTTTACGTGAAATGACATTGCTAAAAGGTTACCTGAATAGTGATAAAGTGAATTCCATGCTTATATTTCAACTTTTCATTAACTTCATGCACCACATGATTCGAATCACAATTTTTTTCGGTATCCAGATGTACCGATAATGCCACTTTATCCATGGTCAATGACCATACTCGAAGTGAGTGCACATCTCGAACTCCTTTAAAATTCATATGTGTTATTTTTCTAGCAATCACAAGCATACAATTGAATGAGAAAAAAAAACAGTATTATTAAATTTCCAATTCTATCTCAGTCCAATGACCAACGAAGAAACTTGAAATATCACTTCGAAACATTTTAGTTGATCGATCTTACAAATAATGCATAATGACAGCCCATTTGGTCTCCATCTTTATCGTTTACTTTTCTTTTTTCCTAATAAGGGAATACCTTTCCGTCTTATAGTTAATGCCTCAGCATGAATTTTTGGTCCGATAAATCTAAGAAAGAAATGTGAAATATTTTTATATTTCAGTATTCTTTCAAGCAGTTTGAAATGCAAAATATTTTGTTTGTCATGTATCTTCGTGGGCTACAAGAAAAAAAGGCATTCTTTAAAACTAAAACTGAATGACAATTCTTTTTTTTTTTGCTAAAATGATATCAAATTTTTAATATTCATTTAATTTATTGAGATTTTTTCCATTATAAAATTCGTTTGCATTAGCTGTTCTTATTAATTTCCGTTCAAAATACGCCATCCCTTTTTTTTTAAAATAAATAAATAAAAAAAGCTAAATATCGTTTAATATAGGATATATTTGAAAATAATGATACTTAAAAATCAGTATTGAACATATATATATATTTTTTCAAATATATCAAAATGATCCACGCAAACCTTCAATAGCACATAGTTCATTATACAGTGTATCCACATCAATATGCTTAGGAGATGCTTCCATCAGAATAAGTACCGAATCTCGAGCTACCGAAAATGATGTCAACTGAAAGTTAGGGAAGGTCTTTGCAACTTCATTGTTAATCTGAATCATAAAATTTCAAACCAAAAAATATTTGATTTGAAAAATACGAACCATAACGAGAATTGAAAAAAGAAATGTACAGATAGGATCTGCCAATGGATAATCTGTAAATTTAATTATTAACGCAGCAAATAGAACACCGAGAGATTGTAATAAATCACCAAGAACATGAACAAATGCCGCTCGAATATTAATATTAGCCTAAAACAATTTCAACTGATGAAACATACCGACATATTTAACTTTATTAATTTACAGAAGGATTGTAATTAACATTCGTTCAAATTAACTTTTCGAAAAGACTCCTGTTAAATGAGTAATGCATGTATTTCTCGCTATTCAACTTGTGCTGCCAATGAATCTTCAAAATACAAACTGATGATTCCACAATGAATATGCTACTATTAAGAAATAAATCAAAAAATTTTTTCCTTTATTAAGTAAATAATTTTTTCTTTTTTGATTTTCAGATTTTAAGCATCATTGAACTGTAACTTAACATTCCGAAGTTTCTCATTCTTCATTAACATCCTCATTAAACATCCTATTGTTTAATAATTAATCTTAAATGGCGCTATGAACAAAAACCATATAAGCTGACTGCTCGAAAATAAAGACTAAACCAAAAACTACGAAATTCTTACAAAATTTGACAAAAATTTATGAATTCAAAAATAACAACTAACCCCAAATTCGAACATATGATGATCATGATCGGTTACACTAACCGTTTTAATGATATTCGCATTATTATCTTGCTCACATCTCATATCTTTCATATCATTTTGATAAACTTTACATGAACCTTCCTAAAATATCGATTAATCTTATTTTCTCTTCCTAAATTCTTATCATTTATATATGAGCACAAAAAAAAAAGAGAAAAAATCTCAATTTAAATTGAAAATGATGAATTTATTCAAATTGCAATTAAATCAATAACCTCGAGATCAATTGGAAATGTTTTCTCATTGCCATGACTATGCGATGACATTCCAAAATGTGAATGCGCTGTTTTGCCAAAATGTAAAATAATGCCCATAATCACATTAAATAGAACACTTATCGCTGCTGTATACAGCATAACTGTTGCATCAACATCGAAATTTTGTTCAATTATTCGTTCGACAGCTGCATAAACGAGAATAGCTGTTAACGCCCAGATCATTACTACACTTAAAAAAAAAAGAGAATTGAAATTAGGAAATTTGTTATAAAAAAAAAAAAAAAAAAATATTCTGATGATGAATAATGATTTATTTATAGTTAAATTATATTTTATCCTAATTAATTAATTGCAAGAATTAATATATCATACCTAATTAATGCGCCTAATATTTCAGCTCTGTAATATCCAAATGGTAAGTGTTTCGTTGGCTTTTTTTGTGCTAATTTCATTGCAACAATAGCAACACAAAAACTTAGCAAATCAGAAATCATATGGCCAGCATCGGTCATAATTGCTAAACTATTAGCAAAATAACCACCCAAGAATTCAATTATTATAAATATCACTGTTACTGCTGATACAGCATAAAGTGATTGCTCTGCTTTTCTGAAAAAAAAAAAAGAAGAAAAATGTATCAGTTATTTTCTCTTTTTTAATTGAAATGATTTTGATATTTTTATTGAAATAAAATTAGAAGTGAAAAATCGAACGATGAAAGTTTTCACTTACATTCACTAAAATTTTAACCAATATTATTTTACAGAAAAATAATAATAATTGAATCATAAAAAAAAATTCATTTAAAAAAATTATAGTTTATACAGCGGCTATCATAATCAAAATTTGGGATCAACTGACGATATCAGTGAAGCATGCACCTCTTCCAACTTACTTAATCAATTTTTGAATTTTTTTTTTTTGGATTTTATAAGGATACAATGCAAAAAACAAACCTTGTATTACCGTTTGATTTGTTATTCCTATCACAGTAATAGAGTGGCGTGCCATCATTAATGCCTTCCATATGGTTTGTAACATTTTGCGCTGATTCGGATCGATCACAAGACATCAGTCTAGGATTTCATTCAAATTTCAATTAGAAAATATTTGCAAAAAGAGAAAAAATTTATTCGAAAATGTCCGAGTTAAGCAAAATATCAAAAATTTCTAATCAACAAAAATTATAATCTTTTTAGCTTGAATTCTACTCGAATTATTATCTTACATTTCCAAATTGAATTATGCAATATTCTTAATTGAAATTACTTATTTCTTCAGCAATCAATCTTTCTATACCACTCCTTTTCTATTTATATTTAATAAAAAAAAGAAAACGAAAAGACTTCAAAAAAAAATTTGCAACAATAATTTTGATTTTATAACAATAAGATACAATAACATTTTTTTTTGTAACACCTATGTTATTTAGTAATAGGTCAGTAAATTTTTTTTAAAAAAAAAAGATGAAAAAAAATTTTTTTAATTGAAAAATGGATGCAACAATTATTTGAAGTTACATTGTATTCTCTTAGAAAACAATTTTTGTGAGCGGAAACCAAAGACCCAATTATAATTTTCTGGTGCAAATAAAGAATAAAAAAAAAATCTCATTTTTTTTTGCATATTTCTTGATCGATTCTTAATTTTTCAGATGATTCATATCGCACCATCATTTAAACGTTTCCACACACAGGACTTTTTGATGTTGAAAAAAGAGAAGACGTTGTTTTCAGTTCTTCTTTTTTTTTTTTTAATTGAGCCTCTTTTTTAGTTCAGCCATATATAATTATACACAATTGAATACAGTCCACTCCTTAAAATTGATTTATAACTTGCAAAATTTACATTAAATTGACTGAGCACATCTTTTTTTGGAGTGTTTAGAAGTGATGAAATGAATTTTAAAATGATATAGCCATTGAAATCAAATGGAGATCGAAAAAATGATATGATCAGTAATATCATCAAATTTCTCGTAAATGTGATCAACTCTGATCGTACTATCGAAAATACTTTACATTTATACGGATAATTTCGGACTGAAATGTCATTTCATACAGATCTTTGAATTTTTGCCAAATTGTGGTAGAAAAAA